TGTATACTGATCAATAATCCATAAAGATACAGTGTATACTGATCAATAATCCATAAAGATACAGTGTATACTGATCAATAGGATCAATATTGGAGTGAGACTGTAAATACAGTAAACTGATAGAAACATTTTCATTGAGTCGTTTTATGTTTAAATGTTTTTGATCAGATGTTGAGTCGATTGATTTGATTTGATTTGATTGATTAAAACGTCCTATTAAGATTATTTTGACATTCAGAATCAATGTTAATGATCAGTTTTATATCACAGTGACATGAGTCAGCATTATTATATACTGGATATCTGTCATTTTCATGTCACACTTCTATATATTTCATCTATATATTGATTGATTGATTGATTGATTGATTGATTAATGAATAGATACGATGGATTATTCAGCACTAATAAAAACCTGTAAGGGACCCATCAGCACAGACTACCTGCTCCTTCTACTTCCTGTTCTTAATGATCATGAGCTGCTGTAATTCCATTATCCTATAATTTATCTGCTAGGATAACTATCATACATCCCTAATGATGATAATGATAATAATAATAATAATAATAATTCAAACTAAAGTAACAGCTGTTTTCAAACTGATAGCAGAAGAAAGTTCAGATTGTGTGAATTGAAGTTATAAAGGTTATAAAGTATAATATATGATATATGTCAGTATATGAAGTGATTTAGTATTTATACACACAGTGTCTGACTGACGGGCTTCAACCAGGACCAATAATATCATATATAACATCTAATAATCTCTAATGATATATAACTGATAATGTATAACATCTAATAATCTCTAATGATATATAACACCTAAATAATATATAATATCTAATATATAACATATAAATATATATATATATATATTTATATGTTTAATGTAATTTTAGGAAATCAGAATCAGGTTTATATGACAACATCCCTGATGTCACAGCTCTGATGTCACAGCTCTGATGTCACAGCTCTGATGTCACAGGTGGGGTCTGTAAGGTGACCAATGTTCAATCAATCAAACTTTATTTGTATAAAGATAAATCCGAAATCCCGTCCATCCCCAGAGGAAGGAGCTCCAACCTGAGGGTCGGGACCCCCACAAGGGTCGCCGGAGCTCCACAGGAGGTCCCGAGGACTTCTTGATTTGAGCTCTCGATGTAGATTTAGAGGCACAGAACAGAAGTTTATATTGCATTGTGGGTAATTTTTATCAAGCGGGAATATTTGACAGTATATCTGAATATAGTAATATTAGTAACTGAAGATTGTATAAAATATAATTATATTAATACATCAATATTAAGATAATACATATATATATAAACACATTCTGTCTCATTGTTCTATCAGACAGAAGTGAAGCACTCTGAGATAAAGCCCTGCTGTGTATGTACGCTTTCCATTTTCTTACACACCTTAAAATCAAGAAGGCCTCGCGACCCCCAGTAGGGGTCCCGACCCTCAGGTTGGGAACACTGAATTACTAGATCAGTATTTTTGGAATGTGTTAAAATATTGTGATGAAATCCTTCTGGAGGAGATTAATGATGTGTCATCATAAACAGCCCGGACACTCAGAATATGTGACCACGCCCACCTCGAACTCCCCGCCACAATTCTTCCCCGAATGTCCAAACGTCCAAATGTCCAAACGTCCAAACGTCCAAATGTCCAAGCTGAAGTGAAAGCTGCTTCAGGTGGAGTTTCACTCTGACTGAAAATACAGGGGAGAAGTTCCTGACTGACAGACCGGGGCTTTCCATGCAGACAGACAGGCAGACAGGCAGACAGGCAGACAGACTCCGTCCACCAGAATCCACTTTTAATCTTTGTTCTTATTAATATTCAGTTTCTGTCAGGAGTTTGTTTGCTTCTTTCACTTTTGTTTTTATTGTTAAAATGTTAATTCAAATATTATCAAAATCACAACATGCCGGGCATGCCGTTTAATATGTAGATCAATATGTAGATCAATATGTAGATCAATATGTATTGATTGTCAAATAATAATTTTGTCTCCAGATTCAAGAAAATGTTTTTGTTTGCACCCAAAAGATGTTACATCATCATGATTTAATAGTAATAATAACAATAATAATAATAACAATAATAAAACTAGTAATATAATGAATATAATATTATGACAATAATAACAGTAACTATCCTAATAATACAAATAATATCATTTAATATTATTATTATTATAATAAGAGGAGGAGGAGTCAGGAGATTTTCAGAATAAAAGCATGTGACTGTGTGTGACCTGAGAGGCAGTGAGAGCAGTTTCTCTGCTGGTGGTTGCAGCGCCCTCTGCTGGTCAGACTGAACACAAACATTACAGTGAGTTTAGAGGAAAGCCCCTGAGCTGCTGCCAGCTGTCAGTTTCTGTTTCTGCTGTAATCAGACAGACAGACAGACTACAGTTCAGTGTAAACACAGTGTTTCTTATTGTTTGTGGTTGTTTATTAACCTGCTAACTGATTCTCATTCATAAATATCTCCATTTACTGGTCATAGAGTTCAGTCTTTTATTTTGAAGTTTGGGAATCAGAGTCAGGTTTACAGTCTGTGATGATGTCATACAGGAAGTGAGTTAATGATGCAGTCAATGGAAAAGCCCCTAGCATCCCCACAGCTGAGCACTGACAGGAAGTGTGTGTGTGTGTGTGTGTGTGTGTGTGTGTGTGTAAAACAGCTGATTCTGTGGTCAGGGTAAAGGTCAAAGGTCACATCTCTTTGTGTTCTGAAGGTCATTAACGGGCTCGCTGAAGTTCTGTAAACGGAAAAGTCTGGTGGAAGCATTTCAGTCAATTCCTCCAAAAGATGAATTATTAATTAAACCTACAATCAGCTTCTGACTCAACTCACTTATTATTATTTTATTATTGTTTTATTATATAACCAACTAAACTAACCCCTGTAATATTCCTGTAATATTCAGTATTTTATATAATATTATATAATGTACAGTAATAAAAGTGATTATCTGTGTAATTACAGTAATT